GGAGAAAGACAGAGGCACTTTCTTTCCTTTATTTCCTCTGGGTTACCTATAAGGCCACTCTACTCCCTATGGGTAGTAACCCAAAATATCATTTCCTAGAATATAATTGACAGATATTCCCCCTTGCCCCCACTACTTAGCACCTAGTAGCACCCCATACAACTAGAGCACATTCTGGGAAGAACTGAGCCAACTGTAACTGTATTTCCAGAGAGTCTGGGATGGTCATTGATGTTAAGATTTTCTATCAAATAAATCAAGGTAACAGCTCATGTGAACAGCCAAATGTATACGGGCCAACCGATCACTGATGTCAGATGGGTTAAAGTTCTCTGTGACTTTTCATGATCACAAATTATGTCTCCACATGGCTGCCTGGGTGATCTTCTCAAGTGCAAATTGGGGCTTCCCAGGCTTGCCTTTGCCTATGGGACAAAATCTAGGTTCCAGAGAACAGTGTTCAAGGCTCCTCACAAGCAACTCCTAACTGCTTTTCCAGCATCATCTTTCTTCTGACTCCTAAGGACATCTTGGACTCTGTTCAAGCCACCTTCCTCCAGTTACCCACGATCCCAAACTCCCCTTTGCCTGGGACTTGCTTTTGTCCTTGTCGTACGCTTCTACTCATCCTTTGAGCCTCAGCTCAAATTCCTTCTCTTGTAAAAGGCCTTCCTGGCCTCCATAAGCAGAGTTCAAAGTTTTCTCTCACCTCATGTTACCATTTATCACATCCACATCGATTCCATTACTCACTAATCAGATTGTGTCTGGTTTTCCCACTAGACTGTGAGCTCTCAGAGGGCAAATACCCTGTCTTATTCATGTTTTTCCCCCCAGTGTCTAGCACATGGTAGAAACTTAATAAATGTTTGTTGAAAGAATAGCTGATTAAATAAAATAAAAAACAACAACAATAAAAGTAGGGGATGTTACTGCCCAGTTACAGATTTGTAGCCAGTGTTCAATAGTCCAGGAATGAAGGAAAATGAGCTTGAAGTTGCTTGGTCACCAGCCGATATTTCTTACCAACAAGGAAAAACATTGAACAAATGGAAAGCACTGCTGAGTGATGTGATCCTTCAGGAGTAGTGAAACTATTCAGAGAAGATATCAGGCAGGCACCTAGTGGTTCCTCAGGAAGGACTTTGTTTTTCACTCACGTCAAAGCTTCTCTAGCATCCGTAGCTTTTCCCTCTTTGACTCCTTCCCTACGCTTCTAAGTATGTTCATACGTTCCATGTTAAACAAGAAAAGCAAACAAGTAACTTCTAACTATGCCTGAAGCTCTAAGATCCGTGATGGAACTTCTCAGGGTTGTGATAAACACATAAAGTATTTTGACTTCCTCAAGGCATGTGACCACGTAGCTCATGAAATCCTTGCAGAGAGGATGAAAAAGAAGTGGGTTAAAGTTTCACGACAGTCAAGTTTAAGGAGCATTGGCTGTAGATCGATACTACCCTGGAGGCAGGTCTTGGTGACAAGCCAATGGCTGTCTTCCATGGCCTCATCTTCCTGTAGGCTTCCTTTTTCTGCATTCATTCCAGCCATGCTGGCCTCTTATCAGCTTCCAGTACTTTCTGGGCTCTCTTCACCACCAGATCTTTTGTAGAAGGCCTTTGCCTGGAAACTTCTTCATTCTCTTCACCTGGTTTGTCCCACACATCCCTCACCTCACACATGACTTCCTCCTCCCCACCCAGGTCCAATCCCTTTATTGTAGTGCTCATGGTCCCACACACTTCTATTTGTAGCACTCCTCCTGGCTACAGTTTATTTATTTGTGGGTTATCTTTCTTCTTCATGAGACCCTAAGGAGAGGTTTCTTTTCCCATGTCTGAGTTTTCTTACTGGTGCATTCTCAGTTCCTGTAAAGTCCTTGGCTTGGATGAACAAGAACAAAAGAATGAATAGGAAAGCTAAAGTCCAAGTTAAGCAAATGCAAGCTCTGAAAGTATGTGGGAGGCTGCCCGGGGTCCAAAGCTGACAGGAACAAGCAAACAAATAAAGAGAGTGTTCAGACAAAGTGAGTTTGCAGTGAATTCCTTGGACCAAGGTCACATACATTGGTATTTCTTTTAAAAGTTCCAGGTTGCTGTGATTCTTCCTCAAGTCACAGTTCTCCGGAGGCTGAGAGAACTGATCAGTATGTTGGATCACCGGATCAGTATTCAGAAAGAACACAAGACCAGTGATCCTTCAAATCATTGAGCGTCTCTTATCAGTCCTACACTCTAACCTCTAGGGGGAGCTCAAGGCTTCTCCTCTCACCAGGTGACCAAAGGATAAGGGGTGGGGCTCCCAGTGGGAGGAATAATGTGATTATAAATGGAGCTGGACTGAGCAAATGCCCTTTTATCCACCCTCCCTGTTTCACAGTTTGCTTTTGCTCTTGGTGTCTTTTCCTTTTCTGCTGTCCTGTGTTTGTCATCAGATGGGCTTGTCTGGATGAGTTCACGTAAGTTCTACAAAAGCCAGAGATGCTCCAGTCAAGGTTGCCAGGATGGAAGACATTATAGGGATTTGGGGGGCAATGCTATAATTAGGAGGAAAGATTAAGCTTTTGCCTCATGCCTTCTTGGTGCTTTTATGCCTTGAGCTGTCATCATGAGGAGAGGCAGCCCGTAGAAGACACACCCAACATGTCAGTGAGCCAGGCACTGTGCTAGGCTCTGCAACACCATAATGAGTTAGACATAGTTCTTGCCCACAGAGGCTTTCGGTCTCACTGTTTAGTCCGCCACACTCCCGTGTTTAACTTAAATAATCGTTGGCAGAAATGCAAGATGGAGGAGTCTTGGTTTAATAATAGTAAGAAAACAAAACACAACAAAACCCCAAGGAATTATAATTTACCATAAACTCAAAATGAAAATCTAGAGTGATGTGGCAGCTGCAAAAGTTTTTGTAATTTTAGGCTCCATTAATAGAAATATACTATGTGGATCAAAGGAGTTAATAGTCTCATTGTAACTAGTGCTGGTCAGTCCACATCTGGAGTATTGTGTTTCCTTCTGGACACCACATCTGAAGAGACACACGGACAAATTAGAGTGTGTCTAGAGAGGGCTGCCCAGGATGGTGAGGGGGCTGGAAACCCTATCATACACAGATAATTGAAGGACCTGGGAATGTTTAGGCTGGGAAATAAAAGACTTAGGTGGGGGACATAATAGCTATTTTCAAAGATTTGTCATACAGAAAAGGGCATAGGCCAACTCCATGTGTTGTTATAGAGAACGCTTCTCAGGAATAGCACTTGGGTGAACTAGTGGAGATGTTAGGGAAAGATTTTTAGTTTGACATGGGGAGAAGCTTCGTAGCAACCAAGCTGTCCAATGGTGGACCGGGTGTTCTCTTTTCTCAGCATTTTACTTTCTTGTCTTTCTTTCTTTCTTTCTTTCTTTCTTTCTTTCTTTCTTTCTTTCTTCTTAAATATATTTAAGTTTATTTATTTTTTGTTTATTTTTAAGTGTATTTAATTATTTTGCGTTTATTTTTTAATTTTTTACAGTTCATTTATTTATTTTGAGAGAGAGTGAGCGTGAGTGGGGTAGGTGCAGAGAGAGGAGAGAAAATGTCAAGCAGACTGTGTGCTGTAAGCACAGAGCCTGACGCTGGGCTCAAACTCAAGAACCGTGAGATCACGACCTGAGCTGAGATCAAGAGTCGGACGCTTAACCGACTGAGCCACTCAGGTGCTGTCTGCCTCTCTTTCTAAGAACTGGTTTGCAGGTTCCCTTTTCCTCCCTAATGATCTCAAATCCCTCATTTTTCTTGGTCATGATGGAATGAGGCCTTACAATTTACTTCTGTGTGAGTGAATGGTAATATTGACAACCAACACTATGCTAAGCACTTTACAGAGGTGATATTGATTGCTTGGTGCAAAGCATGGAATAAATATAATCATTGTTCCATTGTATAGAGGAAGAAACAAAGCTTAGATAACTTGTGCAAAGTCACATACCTAGTGCTATGGACTGAATGATGTGCCCCCTAAATTCATAGATTGAAGCCCTAACCCTTAGTGTAGCTGTATTTGGAAATGGAGCTTTCAAGGAAAAAATCAGTTAAATGAAGTCTTAAGGGTAGGACTTCGATCCAATGGGGTCAGTGTCCTTATAAGGCCTCTTCTTTTTCCTCCCCGTCCCCCCCCCCCCCGTCTTTCTCTTTCCTCCAAGGGAGGACATAGTGATAAAGCACCATCTATAAGCTAGGAAGAGAGCCCTCACCAGAAACCAAATCAGCCAACACATTGATCTTAGACTTCCCAGCCTCCAAAACTGTGAAAAATAAATTTCTGTTGTTTAAGCCACCCAGTCAATGGTATTTTTTAAGGCAGCCCAAGCTGAGTAATATAGTCAGGAAATGGGAGAGCCAGGATTTGAACCCAGAAATTCTACTTTCCCAGCCTTTTCCTGCTATACATGCCTTTTCTCCACCAAAATATAAACTCATGGAAAAAAAAAACCAAAAAACAACAAACAGGTAGATTAGAAGTTTGAACCTAAGTGGATTAATGGAGTAGAATACTTTTCCCAGTGAATTAGGGGCAGAAACACATGGCAGACATAAATACGTAGCTTGTGTGCTCAGTGTGTTCTCCCAGACTTGCCACTTCTTGCTACTTTTACTGTGCAGGGGGTCTTTGTTAAAAGAAAATGGTACCCAGATCCACCCCGTAGTCCAGATGGCCTGCACGTGTCACCAGGCTGGGCCTTCTTTACTCAGTGGCACAGCCAGGAGTCTGATTTAAACATTGCTTTCTTTTTCTGACACTCTCCCCTGGTTCTGTGGGGATCTGGGTATTCCATTTTAATTGTGTCTTTATTGCTTTACGTAAGACAAAGTCTTTTATAATGAATAAGACAATTGAAAAGCTCTTTCCTCTTAAAAGCCTCTATGACTCACCAAATACACTCAAACCACAACTCAATAAAGCCATGATTAAAGTCTATGTCGAATAAATCCCTCAATGAGCAGAGTTTTGCGTGCTGTTACCACAAGTCATCGAAACCCTTTGATGTATGTTGGGCCCTCTTGCTCATAGACCTCTGTCCTATCATCACTTTCCCCAGCCATGAATCTTATGCCCATATGATTTCTCAGTGGAGAAGAAGTCTTGTCTAACGGGAGGCACAGAGGGAAGGCTTCCTGGAACATTGGAAGAAAACCAGGAAAGTGACCCAAATGAAAGGTAAGACTAGAAGAAGAAAATCAGCAGCAAATGGATAGCTTTCCCAGCTGGCATCCTTGCCTGTGCTGAATCCAGAGGCTGCTGGAATAAGTGAGCAAGACTGATTTAGAGGGAGTTTTGCCCACATTTTCATCTTCTGGCTCTTGTTCTGTGTAGAATCATGTTGTGAAAAAGAAAAAAAAAACAAAAACACCCTTCAAACAGTGTCTGAAACAAAATTCTTTCCAGAGAGACATTTATATTTACCACCTGAGGCTTCCAGTCCCAATACCAAGAGGTTCACTGAGTTACCTGAATATGCAATCTTGGTATACACGTACAACATTTGCTTTGATTTTATTGCTTCCAGCAACTATTAATTCAGAGAGAACTAACTGGCCATCTGTTCTGATAAACTTGAGGTGGCTTCAATTCTTTGAAAAATTTTTTTCCAGCGAAGCTTCTCTTCGGGCCATTGAAAGCCTCATTTCTTTGTGTGTTCATGATATTTTACTCAAAATAGTGATCTTTTTACTTAATGGATAAAGGAGAGATTGTAATGATAGCAGCAACCGTTAGAGATCCAGCAAGGAGCCCCCTAAAGAGAGAAGACTAGAACTGCTTGTTGTTTCTAAGTGATAGTCTTCAATGTCGGCCAACTGTAAGTTGTATGTTGCCCTTTAAGGGCAAGGGCCTAGAGGTGCAAACTCCACATATGAAACTCCATCCAGAGATCTGGCTTGGGGTTTTCAAATGCTTTGAGTACTCCTGACACGGTTGGGCTATGGAATTCATCTATTTCAAGCTGAAGGGAGACAAATCCTGAGACCAATGGGAGCTGCTTGTTTTACACACTTAACTGTGACATTTGTCATTTTTACAGCCATTGCCGATAGTTATATTGAGTGTTATGTAAACTGTCCCGGCTGTGGTAAAGACGGCCCCTCGGGGAAACTTTAAGACAGACCAGAATGTCTGACGCCGTTGAGGATGCCTTTTCATCCCTCTGTTATCAAGATGAAGAAACAGAGGGTCAGAAAGGAAAGGACGCTCACTCAGATTTACTTTGAGAGGGAAGGATTCTGCATCAACCTTCTGTTGTGGTGGTTTGCTGATCACTGAGTTTTTCTGCAAGTAGGACCGAGCCCGGGTGGCAGGATCTGCTGGGTGGCAGATACCTCTTTTTCTGCCTCGCCGCTAAACATACCCCTTTGAGGTCTGCCTCATGAGACCCTGCCTTGGCCACTGGCTTCCCTTTGGGATGAATTTCTACCTCCTCAAGGCTTGGTTGGAGCCCCCGTTGCGCTTTTCCCAGTATTATATGTGTGAGTCAGGTCTGCTCCCTTCTGACTTCTCCCCATCAAGGGAGGAGGACTGCGCCGAATCAGATCCCCAGGTCATTCAGGTGAATATTAAAGTCTGAGAAACACTTTCCCAGGGCGGGACCAAGGTCAGGGGCACAGGCAAGGAGTTTGGAACTCAGTGGGGGTGAGATGGGAGTAAGCGTAGGTCAGGACAAGCAGGTGGGGCCAAGGTGAGGGGCAGGGTGGTTACTGCCGACACCAGGGGTATTTGAGCCTGCCGCCTTGTGCTGTGGTGTGGGGTACGTGGATATATCCAGCCTAAATGCTCTTTTTGGCTTTCACCTTGGATGTAGGGGCCTGCAGGGTAGCGACCTACCTTACCCTCTGTCTCCTCGGGGCCTAGCATGGCACTGGCACATCAGAGATGTGCAGCTGGTGCCTGCTGAACTGAAGAGGCCTCCTCAGCCCCTCCTGAGCTTGGGGTGATTGTAGTGGAGAGTCGCCACTGATTCTGCATATCCCCCAGGGCTCTCCTGCTAAGATAAAGACGTTTTGGTATTTTCTTCAGCAAAAACCATCCAGCTGGATCAGAGAGGCTCCAGCATCATATCCCTTGAAAAAGCCCAGGCAGTGCCCAGAAGACCCAGCTTCCCACCCGGGTGTAGACCCATCAGCGTGCCACCCCTGCACAACGGAAAATGGACCTGCGGGTTCTTGCTCTTATTTCTGGAAGAGTTGGTGCCGGACGCCAAAGGCAGACCCTGCTGGGCACTGGGGGGATCGTGAGTGCCAGCCTCTGCAGAACCTCAGGAATGAGCGCGGCTTGCCGCGGCCTTCTCCTGGCAAGAGTTAACGCTAAGGTGCAGCCGAAAGAATGCGAAGGCGGCAGGGCCGGCTCGGGGGATTGCTATTGCAATCAGAAGACGGCCCAAGTCAGAGTTCCAAAGTCCTTTGAAGGGATGCCAGCTTGGACACATGCTTCCAATTATCATACGCAATCTCGAGACAGTGTGCAAGTTGCACTTTCATTATGTCAAAGCGAAAGGAATAGCGAGGGCGAAATAAAGGCGGGGGGGGGAGGCCGCCAGGCCAGAGACGGCACTGAGCTGTGGCACCAAATGTCAGCCCAGGCGCCTAGCAGGCCTCCGACCCGGGTCTGTTCCCAAAGCCAGGGGCTCGTTGGGCCCACTCTGAGGGCCAGCCTTTCTCCTACTTATTTGGGGGGTTAAGGAAACCCAGCTGATGAGGCTGGAGGGGGTCCCATCTTCAAGAAGCTATTTGCCTGCCCAGCTCTTTGGCATCTGGGCTCAGTACAAAGATTTTGTGGGTAGCATGAACCTTGTGAGCCTTGTGTTCATCCGCGGGATTTTACACCGTTCTTCCTCAGGTTTCCCCAGGGTCTGTATTTGCAGGAGAAACTAGTTGCTTTGCCAGCTTGTAGCTCAGAATGAGGCGAGAGAACAGGGGCGGTTCTTCCGTCTCTCCCGCCTGGGGCCGGACGACCTCTTGGGTGGGTTTTACATTGTTTGTAAATCTGGAAAACCTCCTAGCACAAACAATAATTTCATTCAACTCCTTTTTCCAAACACAGTTTTAAAAGTTGTTTCCTTCAGGAAGTCTTCCCTGATTCGCTCTTTCCACCTGGTTGCCTCTTATCAGTGCAGCTTTGGTTTTGAGTGTTTATCTGCACTGATTTGTTTGTTGCTCTGTGTTTTCAAGTCATTGTGTGGGTGCATGTGAGTGTAGGTACAGGTATGCTTCCTGGCCGCTTCTTAGCTCTCGGGGGCTCTCTGTGTATTTGTATGTTGTGCCTGTATGTGGACATACATGTACGTGTATTTGTATGTATTTGTGCGTGTATTTGTATATGTTTTACATACAACAATTGACAACATGCCCAGCATTGAGCTAAGTGCCTTACAACTTAACAAAGTAGATTCTATTGTTATCATCCACATCTTCTGTATAAGAAACCAAAGTGCAGAGAAAGAAGGTAATTTGTCTGATATGGCTCAGTCAGGCTTGCGGTGAGGCCAGGATTTGACTGTGGCAGTCTGATTATCCTCGTGGCCATGACACCACCCTCTGAAAGCTTCTCGGATAACTCTCCTGCAATGGCCTCAGGACGGACCTTGTCTTTAACCCCTTAACCCATTTATTGCTGACACAGGGGAGGCACAGACAGGGTGGGGGTGGCGGCGGTAGAGAAAAAAAAAAAAGGAATTAAATGGTTTTATCTGCCCTACTGCCCTGATCGAGCGCCTGTCACGTGCAAGATTGGGCCAGGTGCCACGGGGACGCAGATGGAACGCATCCTTGATTTTAAGGAGCAGTCCGGGGTTGGAGGGATTCTCTTCAGGCTTCTGGTGCAGGAGGGCCCCCCCCCCCGGTTTCATCTTGGCTCTGGACCTCCTGAGCCACCTCCACAAACCCAGGTGAATTTTGAGAAGGTCACAGCTTTTCTTGTGGCCGACTCAAGTGAGCTGGAGCGAAACAGATCCCATACGTGCTTGCCGCGCGGAAATGCTCAGAGCCGAGGGTCGCTCAACTTGCCAGAGGCTGGAGGGCTAAACCCATCCCAGAGAACCGAGAAGGAGCCCTCTGGCAGTGAGGCAGGCAAACAAAACGCGCAGACTTCTGGCACTCTTCTTAAGGTGGTCTTCGTGTTAGAACCCAGACACTTGCTCAGAGCTAATCCGCACGAGCTGCTCGGTACTGAGCTGGCACATAGCAAGCTCTGAGTAAATGCTCACAGTCACTATGGCATGTCACGGAACGAACTGGCGATACATCTGCAAAACTGTTCACAAACCTCCTCGCCTGGTTGAAAGCTGTTCCACCCTCTTCTAACATCCTATTAGGGGTCCCCAGCCAACTCGACTTTTCAAAACTAAGTTTTATTACATACTTCTCAAGTGCCAGGCACAGTGTGTGTATTTATGTATTATCTCATTGAATATTATATATTATCTCATTTAATCAGCTCTAGGCCCTCCGAGAAAAGTGCTATTATTATCCCCATTCCACGGATGAAGAAACTGCAACTCAGAGACGTGAAGCAACTTGGCTAAGGTCACACAGCCTAAGTAGAAATCCTTTGCTTGTGTGGCTCCAGAGCCCATACCCTTTACCATGAGGCTAGAACCTCTGGAATGTACGGGGCTTTCCTGAGCTTGGATTCAAACAGAATCTGAAGCTGAAGGACTGCTGTCCTTGCTCTTGACCTTCCGGGCCTGGCTATGCCATACCCATATTCATTTTCCATGACATCCGCTGACCAAAGGGTTTCCCTTACCCAATCCATGCCTCTGCCAATAAACCAATGTTCAGTGAGTGCCTTTCCTACACCCAGTACAGGAATTGTTAAGTGTAGGATACATTACTTTGCCTTACACTTGCATGGGATGTGGCTGTTTACTTTCAAATATGTGGTTTTGCTTCCTGGTCCTAACTCTGGGAGATAGGAATGATTATTTTCATTTCACAGCTGCAGGATCTGAGGTCAGAGAGGAGCCACGGCTTGCCAAAGTTCACAGATAGGAATGGGGGAGCGGGGCCTAGAGATAGCTCTGTGGACACCAAGTCCTTTGTTTGAGGCATCACACCAGCTGCTTCCTCAGCACCAGGGGCCTGGGGGCTCCCATGGTTCCATTCAGACTGCTGGAAGAAAGACTGAGGTCACTGCCAAGCTGGACCCCTCGTGATCTTCATAGCCCA